GCTACATATCTCAGCCGATAGAAAACAAGGACAACCGATTAACAGGTCCTATGTTCCTTTGTACATACATCAGTTGCTAGAGAGATCTATACACTACTAGATGGGAGGGTTTAACGGGTGAACAATTCAGTGAAGAATCACTCTTTCATAGTCCACTTTGAGCTATGCAAACAAAATGCATGTATTTGAGGGTTTAAGCTCTTCAGTTGAAACGAGTATACAGCAACACATAGACATGTTACATGTTAGTCTTTGGGAACTGCAAAATTAGACAGCGAGCGCGTCCATATGACCCACACTATTCAGATCTACACCAGTTTAAGCCTCCTCTATAAGAGCCCTGTTAATCCTGCTTGTTCTTCTCTCAGACAGTCATATGCACCGTTTAAGCACTCAATTTTTCGTAGCTGTGTTAATACCTTAATTGCTTGTTTAACTCTTCGTTCTGACTTCGCGAGCACTTAATGCTACGCCATTGTACTTTTGGTGGGCGACATAGTCACCGGGGCAAATAAGTAGGCTCTTCGCCTCACTGCACTTCAGCAAAACATTTTCTGCGCATTAGTATAACTTCTTTCGAATCCGGCAGACTCGGAGCACTGTATTATTGTTACATATATGTCCACTTTTTGAAAGGTATGTAAGGCCCATGATTTCTTGAATATGTGGAAAACTTGGCCATAAAGCCGCAAGGTTTCTAGGTAAGTTCAGCTACCTCTTTGCAAGATCTCTTTTGTGTGTTCCGGTGTAAGTACACCCCCTGAGTTTGGTAGCGTAGCAGTTTTTGTTATTTACCAAAATATTTACCCGCTTTTTGAAAGTAATGGAGACCCTTGACGTATGCAGCTTGGGGTCAAAATGTGAGTGTCGAACTGTCCGTGCGTTTTACCGCCCTCCGTACACCTTCACTGTCATTGTAGATCCCCATCAAGTAACAGTTGAACGTACCCATACGTGTTGCATCACCTATCCTATCTCAGCCCAAAGCTTCAAACAGGCATTCAGTGCTCTTTGTCATTTTTTGACAGGCATTTGGTTCCAGAGCAGCACCGAACTTTGGCAGTACCATTAGAACAATGGAATAGCTGGTCTATTATGATAGATGCACCTCTAAGATGTAGGTGGTGAGAATAACATCGTCTTTTTTGAACGAACGCAAGTGGGCCGGTGTGTGGAAGGCCACAGCACGACCATCCATGTGCTTCGACTTTAATCTTGCCTGAGGCAGACAATTAAACGCTCGAGTTTGGTAAGTGTTCCTGCAGACCAGCCGACTATTGGAAAAAGACAGAATTTAAATGGGAGCAAGACGATCATCAACTTTCCACAATGGCATCATGAACGGATCATCTGCTATTTTTAGGTAGGCGAATTTGATCGTAAGCATCCATTTTTAAACCAATAAGCAATGATGCCTGTAGGTTTGGACGAATTCAGCACCGTTTTTTTTCATATCGTGGCTGTTCTTTACTATAGCCAAGTGTCGTCGATGACACAACAGACTAATTTATGATAAAAATAGAAACTAGTACTAAAAATACGTTGCTACAGAGAAACGAGAAGTCTTTTAACAGTGACAGCCCTAGCAAATTAAGAGGTCTCTTGTAGGATCGAATGGAGTGTAATCATCCAATAGGGGTTTCGAATTTCCTAAGCCTTTTTTACAAGTGAATGGCTAAGAGTATCCATGATAATGTGCATTTTGACGCCCAACACTCTAACTCTCACTAA